AGGGGCTAGGGAAGGGTAAGTGGAAGGAGGTGAGGGAGGAATGGGACGCGAGCCCCCGATGGGGAGGACTGGGCTGGCTCTGCGGGCTTCTGGGGTTCGAAGCTCTCCTGCAGCTCCCACTTGCCCCCTCTCTCCAGATGACAGCCTGCGGCAAGTGCAGCCGGGCTGATGGCCGAGTAGTGTGATGTGCCCAATGTGGGTAGTCCGGGCAATCCAAGCCAGGACTGCTTTGCAAGCGGGGCACCCCTGAGAACTGTCTGTCCGGGGTAATGGGAAAGCTCTATTTACCATTGCATTAACTCCTCCACAAACACACACATGCTCAGTCTATGTTATTTACTGCCTACTCTTCCCACCCCATGAAGAGGTGTACTCATTACCTTGTACAATCAGGATCTCAGGAGGGAAAGTCTAATTTTGAAATATCAGAGGGGTAGCCGTGTTAGTCTGGATTTGCAAAAGCGACAAGGAGTCCTGTAGCACCTTATAGACTAACAGATGTATTGGAGCAGAAGTGGGTCTGACGAAGTGGGTCATCTGACGAAGTGGGCACTTCGTCAGACCCACTTCTGCTCCAATACATCTGTTAGTCTATAAGGTGCTACAGGACTCCTTGTCGCTTTTGCAAATCCAGACTAACACGGCTACCCCTCTGATATTTCAAAATTAGACTTTCCCTCCTGAGATCCTGATTGTACAAGGTAATGAGTACACCTCTTCATGGGGTGGGAAGAGTAGGCAGTAAATAACATAGACTGAGCATGTGTGTGTTTGTGGAGGAGTTAATGCAATGGTAAATAGAGCTTTCCCATTAGGCAGGAAGAGGAAGGAATCTGCTATGACCCATCCATGTAGGGTGAAGATAAAGCAGTAGACAAATCACCATTCCCCAGTGTAGTACTGGTCAGAAAAAAAAAAATTGCTGGAAAGCAACTGCTTTTCATTTCTGAGTCCCAGTTCACTGATTCAATAAGCTGCATAGGAAAGATAGAAAATATGGCAAAAGACCACCTTGGCTTAACCATGAGATCTTGCATGATCTAAATATATAAAAGGAGTCATATAAAAATGGAAGCTAGGACAAATTACAAAGAATGAATATAGGCAAACAACACAGGAATGCAGGGGCAAGATTAGAAATGCAAAGGAACAGAATGAGCTCAAACTAGCTACCGGAATAAAGGGAAACAAGAAGACTTTTTATAAATACATTAGAAGCAAGAGGAAGACCAAGGACAGGGTAGGCCCACTGCTCAGTGAGGAGGGTGAAACAGTAACAGGAAACTTGGAAATGGCAGAGTTGCTTAATGATTTCTTTGTTTCGGTCTTCACCAAGAAGTGTGAAGGAATGTCTAACATAGTGAATGCTAGTGGGAAGGGGTAGGTTTAGAAGATAAAATAAAAAAAATAACAAGTTAAAAATCACATAGAAAAGTTAGATGCCTGCAAGTCACCAGAGCCTGATGAAATGCCTCCTAGAATACTTAAGGAGCTGATAGAGGAGGTATCCGAGCCTCTCGCTATCATCTTTGAAAAATCATGGGAGACAGGAGAGATTCCAGAAGACTGGAAAAGGGAAAATATAGTGCCCATCTAGAAAAAGCGAAACAAGAACAACCCAGGAAACTACAGAGCAGTTAGTTTAACTTCTGTGCCAGGGAAGATAATGGAGCAAATAATTAAGGAAATCATCTGCAAACACTTGGAAGGTAGTAAGGTGATAGGGAACAGCCAGCATGGATTTGTAAAGAACAAATCATGTCAAACCAATCTGATAGCTTTCTTTGATAGGATAATGAGTTTTGTGGATAAGGGAAAAGTGGTGGATGTGGTATACCTAGACTTTAGTAAGGCATTTGATACGGTCTTGCATGATATTTTTATCTAAGTCAAGTTGTATCTTAACTAGGCAAATACAACTTAGATGGGGCTACTATAAGGTGGGTGCATAACTGGCTGGATAACCGAACTCAGAGAGTAGTTACTACTGGTTCACAATCCTGCTGGAAAGGTATAACAAGTGGGGTTCCACGGGGGTCTGTTTTGGGACTGGCTCTGTTCAATATCTTCATCAATGATTTAGATATTGCCATAGAAAGTACACTTATTAAGTTTGCAGATGGTACCAAGCTGGGAGGGGTTGCGACTGCTTTGCAGGATAGGGTCATAATTCAAAATGATCTGGACAAATTGGAGAAATGGTCTGAGGTAAACAGGATGAAGTTTAATAAAGACAAATGCAAAGTGCTCCACTTAGGAAGGAACAATCAGTTTCACACATACAGCATGGGAAGCGACTGTCTAGGAAGGAGTACGGAAGAAAGGGATCTAGGGGTTATAGTGGACCACAAGCTGAATAGGAGTCAGCAGTGTGATGCTGTTGCAAAAAAAGCAAACATGATTCTGGGATGCATTAACAAATTGGGTTTGTTTAGTTTAGAAAAGAGAAGATTGAGGGGGGACATGATAGCAGTTTTCAGGTATCTAAGAGGAGGAGGGAGAAAACTTGTTCATCTTGGCCTCTGAGGATAGAACAAGAAGCAATGGGCTTAAGCTGCAGCAAGGGAGGTTTAGGTTGGACATTAGGAAAAAGTTCCTAACTGTCAGGGTGGTCAAACACTGGAATAAATTGCCCAGGGAGGTTGTGGAATCTCCATCTCTGGAGATATTTAAGAGTAGGTTAGATAAATGTCTATCAGGGATGGTCTAGCCAGTAGTTGGTCCTGCCATGAGGGCAGGGGACTGGACTCGATGACCTCTCGAGGTCCCTTCCAGTCTTAGTATTCTATAATTCTTTGATTTTATTTGGGCCAGGGATGATAAAAAGGTCTAATACCCTTGGGTATGGCTAGACTACATCCCTCTGTCAGCAGAGGGATGTAAATTAGACATATTGACATTGCAAATGAAGTGGGGATTTAAATCTCCCACACTTCATTTGAATAAAAATGGCCACCACATTTTGCTGAGTCAGCAATTTGTCGGCAAAAAGCAGCTGTCAAGATGGGGATCGGGCGACAAAGAAAGCCTTTGTCGCCTGATCCTGTAAACCTCGTTTTATGAGGCATAAGGGATAGGCCGACAAAGGCTTTCTTTGTCGCCCTATCCCCATCTTGACAGTAGCTGTTTGCCGACAAATTGCTGACTCAGCAAAACACGGCAGCCATTTTTATTCAAATGAAGCGTGGGAGATTTAAATCCCCGCTTCATTTGCGATGTTGGTATGTCTAATTTACATCCCTCTGGCGACAGAGGGATTTAGTCTAGACATACCCTCTGTCCTCTGAGAGAGGTCAAATACCCACTGAGTTCAGAAATGTTTCATCTAGGAGGCTCAAGGTATTTTCATATACCACTTGGTCAACAGTCAGCAGTTCACACACAAAAGCATGTGGCTCTGCAGCACAACCAGCAAACATCGCTTTAGTATTGTATTTATCACCTTTTTGTGGGCTGGAGCCTTGAGAAAGTTCTGGCGTGTGTGTGTACTG